CCCCAAAACCCCAAAACCCCAAAACCCCAAAACCCCTTTCTTCTGTTAAATAATTGAGAGGAAGATGAAAATTGTTAATTTAAGAAGAAAAGAATTTTCATCATAACAAGCTCCCAATTCATCCTTCTTGCATCCTTGAGCTTGGAGCATCACAAATATCCTCAATCGGGTCTTCTCGGTCTTTCTCGGCTAGCTCGGCTTTTTTAGAAGTCTTCTTTGATTTCTTAGAAGTCTCTTTATTTACTTCTTTATGAGACTCTTTCTTTGAGTCCTTTGCCGACTCATGAATAGTAAAATTATCACTTTCTGTTTTTACCTAAATGGATGAGAAAAGCTAGATACGCTTGGTAAAGGTTCAGTGCGAGAAACTTCCATTTTAAGCTCAACCCAATCTGCTTGATAGTCCATTTCTTTGAAAGTGTATAATTTTTTATCATAACTTTTACCAGAAGAGTTGACTTTATTATCAACTCCTGTTTTGAGGATGCCTTGCATTTTCCATTCAGATTTTACAAATCCAATATTTCTGACCAAGATCTCTGAAGATTTACATTGTGGGCATTTAGCTCGTTTCTTTAAGTCCTTAGTGAGAGAAAATTTGCCGTACCCTCTGTTGATGATGAACAAGTTATTTATGAATTGTGCATTCCTCATTGTTGCAGTATCACATCCAGCACATGCCGTTCTGGATTTCACAGTAATCTGGAGCTCTCTCACTCCATTCTAATCGTTTGACATTCTTAATAGTGTTGAATGTAAAATCAATGCCTAGCTTGAGGGTTCCTTCTTTAGACTTTTCTGCGACAACCAAGGTTAGATCGTAAATTCCATTATCAGAGATTGACAAGTTAGTCGCTCTTTTTCTACGAGAGTTAGTTGCTGGCTGAGTTGATGCAGAGGAGATCAGCCCATTTATTCCATAATCAGACAATAATTTATCATCCTTCAGGTTAATCTTCCCGTAATGTAGGTTTAGATCAGCAATTCAGGTTTCTTCATTTGGGTCTTTTCATGAAAGCTTTTGGAGAATTAAGAGCTTGAGGTAATATACCGAGCAAGAAGAGACTGTCTCTATCTGAATATTTGAAGAGGAGGACCCCAACTTCTGGTTTATAGACAAGGAGACCTTGCAATTATTCAGCATCATAGAGAATGTGAGCCCATTTTGGTATATTATTGATGCTAAGTTTTCACAATCTGAGACATGGTCTGTTTCGTATTTATTTTTTACATCAAATATTTTATCGTTAGAGATAGCTTTTGAGCTATGAATTTACACATTTGAACTTACCTTTCTTTATTATCATTTCGGGACTCAGTAAATAACGATATTTGCTCAACCTTTCGTGTACCAGGCCTTATACTTATCAATTTTAGAATATAGAGTTTAAGATCAAGAACTCTTAGTTCTGTAAATGATATGTAATCTTCAGAGTCAGCTTCATCTATGGAGTTAGAGATGATAAAGCACCATTTTCTTCAGCTAACTCTCTGTTAGATAGCTTAATCTCCTCTCGTAACAGGTCCTCTGAATACTTTCAAAGCTCTATGGAGAATAAGCAGGAGGGATACCTTTTATGTTAATGTTGAAGGAAGACCCATTTTCTAGCTTTACGACGATCGGGTCTATGTTGTTGGGATAATAAAGCCTTACCTTTGATTTCTGGGTTCAGTTCTGTCCTATATCAGAATAAGTTCAAGTTCAGAGAATTAAGAAATATAATTAAGGAGTTTCTTATACCTAATTTCTAGCAAACAAAGGTGATCATAGGGCTTACCTTGACTTTGGCTGAAGAGATATGCTATCGGATTCTTCCATAATAATTTAAATTACAATTCTTGTTTATATAAATGGGGTTTTGGGGTTTTGGGGTTTTGGGGAGAT